TAGGCCTGGCTAAATTTTATTATTTTTATATGTATGTGTGTATTGCCTGCATGTAGGTAAGTGCACCCTGTCGTGCAATGCCTGAGGAGGTCAGAAGAGGCTCTCGGATCCCCTGTGACTGGAGCTATGGACAGTTGTTAGCTGCCATGTGGGTGCTGCGATTTGACACACACACACACGCACACACACACACACACACACACACACACACACACACACATCTTCTGCAAGAACAACCGGTATTCTCTTTTGGTCTTTTTGAGACAGGGTCTCCCTGTAGCCCTAGCTGGCCTGGATTCACTATGTGACCGGGCTGGCCTCAAACTCACAGAGGTCCGCCTGCCTCTGCTCCCGAGTGCTGGGATTAAAGACGTGCGCCCCACGCCTGGCCACACCAGTATTCTTAACCACTGAGCCATCTCTCCAGCCCCGGTCATTCAGGCTTTTAATATCCAGTCGACCCAGCAGCATTTGTGGAAGCCTCTTCATTGCCCGCTAAGTAGTCTTGGCACACTCTCTAGTAATGATTGCCCATAGATGTGAGAGTTGATTTGGGGATTACCAGTGCTGATTCGGTGACGTGCTGACCTATGCTTCTGCCAGGTCCTGGTTTGTTCCTGCAGCTCTGTGGTGAGCTTTGAAATCATGTGGCATGATTTTTCAATTTGTCTGTCAGGTTTACTTGTTAATTAATTTTTGAGACAGAGTCTTACTGACCTCAAAGTTGGTGTGAAGTCCACACTGGCCTAAAATTCAGTGATGATCCTCCTGCCTCCACCTCACAAGTGCTAGGATTGCAGATGTGCACCACTGCACACCCACCCCAGCCTTCCTCTTTCCTTGCATCAGCTATGGATGCAGCAGGGTGCTTGCCGTAGAGTTTCCATCCGTCTGGGTTTGTGGGCTGCAGCTCTGTGGTTTGGTTTATCAGGCTCCTTAATTCCGTGGTGACAGTCCAACTGTGTTATCCAGTTAGGTTCTCTGTGGCCACAGGCATGCTGGCAGGGCGTGCCGTGGGTCCAGAGTTTAACCACGAGGCAGGTGGGCTTGATGCTCTCTGTGCTGTTAGCATCTGTCAGTGATCTTCACCTGGTTCATTTGCCCTTGGAGGCAAATTTGCTTTTTTTTTTTTGGTCTTTTTGAGACAGGGTCTCCCTGTAGTCCAGCTGGCCTGGAACTCACTATGTAGACCAGGCTGGCCTTGAACTCACAGATCTGCCTGCCTCTGCCTCTGCCTCCCGAGTGCTGGGATTAAAGGCATGCACCACCAATGATTTGTGCTTTAAAGGGTCACTGTGTGTATGTGCGATTCAGGTGACTAAGGGGGATAGTCATGCAATAAGACACCTTGTGCCAGTGTGGCGCATAGTGACAATTTTATTGTTGTTGTTGTTGTTAGAACTGTGTGGGGAACTCAAGTCCCTGGCTTGGAGCCATTTTCTGGCCCAGGCTGTCTGTCCTTCTCCTCTGCCCCTGGAGGGGCAGTCTGCAGTGCTGGTGGATCTGAGAGGCATGTTGAGGAGGGCAGCAGCCATCTCAGTGCACCTGGTGGGGCCGTTCTGGGGAAGGAAGGCAGGAGCCTCACTCACCCGGTGTTTGCACCAGACTGTAAGTGCCCTGTGTAGCCTACTACCAGCTTTGTGGCCCTGGGCTCCTGGGATCTGGCTTGGCCCTGGCTTTGAAGCTATGCACGAACCTGTTCTTCAGGAAGCCTTCCCTGACCGCAGCTGGCTTGCCACCTCCATTGGCCCTACTTCTCTCATCTGGAACTTATAACTCTGCATGGCTAGTTGGCTTGTCTGCTGCTGCCTGCCTGCCCATTATCCCAGTGCCCAGCCCAGCTTAGAGTACACAGTGGGTGCTTCACACGTTGGATGATTGTGTTATACATAAGCCTGCGAAGGGACACTGTTTCCTGATTTCCCCAAGTACTGGCTGCCATTTGCCAAGGTCATCCTCTTGAGTACCCCACAAGTCTGGGGTTCCCATTATTTCTATCTCCCCTGAAACCCACCTAACTCCACTCACATCTGTTCACCTGACAGTCTGTACCCTACACTCTCCACTCCTCCCAGCCCCACCCTCCCAAGCCTCCCTCAGGTCAGCCTTTGTCCCCTGACTCTTACATTGCCCCAGCCTCCTTGTTGATTTATTTGATGCATCCCCAGTTGAACTTGGCTCCATGCTGCTATCACCTGGGTGATGCTCTCCGCTGTGTGGACGAATCTGGGACATGCCAGACAATCACAGGCTCAAATTCAGAAAATGTGTAGGTGAAATATGCACCAGTTAGAATCGATCAAAAACCAAACGAGAGAAATCAAGTAAAACAATCATCAGGTCTGGTGAGATGACTCAGTGGGTAAAAGTGCCTGTCACCAAGCCTGGCAACCTGAGTTTGAGTCCCAGGACCCACATGGTAGAAGGAAAGAACTGATTCCTGCAAGTTTTCCTCTGCTTCACATGCATGCTTGTGCTCACACATCTACACAGAAAAAAAAATATATTTTTTTGACACGGTCTCCTTAGCCCCAGCCTGGGAGTCACTGCGTGGACCAGGCTTGCCTGGATCTCATAGATATCTGATCCACTTGCCTCTGACTCCTGAGAGCTGGGATTAAAGGCATGTGCCACCAAACCCAGCTATTTTTAAAAACTTAAAAAACCCAGCCAGGCATGGTGGCACATACCTTTTTAATCCCAGCACTTGGGAGGCAGAGGCATGCAGATCTCTGTGAGTTCAAGGCCAGCCTGGTCTACATAGTAAGTTCCAGGACAGCTGGGGCTACAGGAGGACCCTGTCTCAAAAAGACAAAAAACAAAAACAAAAAAAACCAAAAACTTAAAAAACCCTATCAAAGCCAGGCGTGGTGGTGCATGCCTGTAATCCCAGCACGTGGGGGGCAGAGATAGGCAGATCTCTGTGAGTTCAAGGCTAGCCTGGTCTACATAGTGAGTTCCAAGACAGCTGGGGCTACAGGAGGACCCTGTCTCAAAAAGACAAAAAAAAAAAAAAAAAAAAAAGGAAAGAAAGGGAGACTTGGGAGCAGAGTCACCTACAATGCCCACTGGGAAAGAAACTCAGTGAGCATTTTGATAGACTTCCTCAATATGTATATGTAGCCTGTTTTACTGATATTGGTATATCACTAAACTTCTAAAATATGATTGTCTCCTACATTTTTTAAATCATAAAATACTTAGCTGGGCATGATGGCTCACACCTAAAATTCCTACACTTGGGAGGCGGAGGCTATAAGTGTGAGGCTGGCCTGAGTGTCATTACATCTTCCAGGCTAACCAGGGCTACAAAGCAGACCCTGTCTGAAACACAATAGCAACAACAAAAATAAAATGTTTCACTAGGCTAGGCGGCCCACACTGTCACCTGAGAACTTGCCAGACTGTGGCAGAAGGATTGCCATAAATTTGAGCCAGCTGGACTATGGAGGGAAACCCTACCTCAAAAAAAAATTTTTTTTAATTTAGAAAATTTGAAAAGTAGTAATTATAAAGAAGAAAATTGAAAATACCTGTTAATAAACCTGCCACAGGACTCACCCCCGTTTTGGTCCCCTCAGGATCACCCTCTCTGTACTGTTGGTGGTATGCACTGAGTGCCAGGCCCAGCAATACCATCAGGGATTCAGTGAGGGTTGGGAGGCAGAGTCCGCAAAGATGTGCCCATGCGTACCAGGCCCCAGCTGGCTCCTACCCTCAGGACTCCCAGGCTATGGAGAAGCCTGGCTTTACACAGGGTCCCAAGACACCCCCCCGGGCAATGTCTGGGACCAACACTGTTGCCACAGCCACTATGACAGGGTCCTAGATGACTTTGCTCCTGAGCCTCTGTGTGCCTGTGTCTTCATTTGAATATGGATGAGCACATCACCTCTGATGGCTGTTGTGGGGACTGAGCAGATCCTGACCCACAGCAGGTTACTACTGGCCACAGTAGGTGACTGCCAAACATGGATATGATCTGGCTCTTCCAGCTACTGGCCGTGAGGAACCAAGATCCTCCTGGACATGAGTGAGCCCAGAAAATTGAAAATATCTGTTAATTAACCTGCCAAAGGACTCACCCCTGACGTTTTGTTACCTTCAACACATCACCCTGTGTTCCCCTTCCAAGTTCTCATCCACGAAGGGGGCTGGCTAGGTCATCCTGAGCCTAGGAAGACCTCTGCCAGTGAAGCTGACCACTGGTGCCATCGTCCTTTCCAACTCATCCTTTTCAATCCTCAGCTCCGTCTGGGTCACCCTGTAACTTGGCAGTCAGGATCCTGTCTCCCAACACACCAAGCCAGAGCTAGTGGACCCCACCCTTGCAGCCCCTGCAAATGATGGGGTGGAGGCTAGTGGGGGATGGAGCCCTGCAGGGAGACTGGAGCAGCTGGAAAAGCAGGCTGTAGCCTGGCCTAGCAGCTGGAGCCCAGGTCTCCACCCATTCTGGAAAAGTAAATGGTGGGTCTGTGGCCTTAAAGCCACTGTCAGAGTTGCCCACACTCCATTCCTGTGTGATTCTCGCACTGGACTTCCCTTCTCTGTCTCCAGCTCACCATGGCCAAACAGCTGCCAGCCAGAAGACTGGATGGAATCGACCACAACCCCTGGTGAGCTGATGGGTTGGGAAGGTGTCTGGACATTCCTCCTCCCATAGGCTGACCACCGTTTGTAGTAACTTAGCATACTTAGGATGGGTAGTGACAGCCACAGACCAGGGAGGCAAGATCCATGGTAGCAGGTTAGCTTCAAATCTCAGCGACCCCCTGCTTGGCTTTGGTGCAGGGCAGGTGACATACTCGTTCAAACTGTAGATAATTCTAACTTTGAAGGGCCTGTGTACTGGCAGTAGCTCTGAATCAGGCACAAGGCCAAAGCTTCCCACAGATAACTGCCTCTCATACCTATA